TGTCACAGTGTTTAATACGCCTAGTGAGTCAATCTATCGTTTCAAAACGTAGAGCATGAAGAATACGATCGACATAAGCCTCTCCAAAATTTTTTTGTACGACTGTACAAGCAAATCGAAAATCACATGACTGACTTGTGCTGTAACATAATCTCTTTAGAGCCTTACTGCACATCGCATTGTTAAGGCTCTCATTTGCCTGTGAAGATGCTGCCATTAAAAACTTTTTGGCGTTTTCGGCAAGCTTATCAAATAAAATTGTGAGTTCCTTGAATAATACAGCATTCTTCAGTTGTAACCCAACATAATTCTCTTTACCTTCTCTAGCTGTACACCAGGATCCACAGTTATCGTGCCTATCAAATGCATGATAAGGTATATTTTTAATGGCAGCCATAATTCGGTCCAGATCACCAACATTTTGTGAAACAGCGTAACTGAAATATTTTTTTAAAGTTTTTATTGTGTCGTGCTGCAATTCACGATCTGGATCTTTGTTGACTTTGCAATTGATGTTGTAAAGAGCATTGATAACTCCTTTTTTGGAATGATTCATGTCTGATTGCTTACTAATAAAGTGACTAGATTTACTTTGTATTGCACTGATACTGCAACTATCATTGTCGGCAATAAATACGCCTATTTCAACATGAGAATTTTTAAAAAGCTCGTTTTCAGTTACCAGCTTACGCGTACCTTCGGCCTCCATACCCTTAGCACTACCATAAAAGTTTAAGCGACAATCATGTTCTATAAGAACATTTCTTTTTTCATTAGAGTCGCACTGACGACATTTTCTATTAAAAGTTATACATGCTAGGACCATTCCACTAAGCTCCCCAATCAGAGCACCATATCCATTCAGATTGTCGTAGGCGTAACCATTTGCGCGTTGAGTCCATCCAAAATCAAATTTAGCAAACAGTCTCACAAACGTAATTTCTTCACCATTTACACATTCCCTATGGACGAGGAAATCATCTGGGGTCCCTGGAGGCCTAAATTGAAGGAGAAAAGAGGACATGTATATTGTGAAACGATATGTTATTATTTTGATAGAAGGTAAATAACATTGTTCATTGATTTATAATTTGTATATATGTATATATCAATGTGTAATAAAAAAAAATTACATTCATTAACTGTTGTATAATTTTAATAATGTAATTGACAACATACTGGCAATTACAATCTTACAAAAGTAATTTTTTGGTAATATTTGCATAAAAACAACGGTTTTTGTGTATACCTCAAATACAATAACGTTGTAAGAATCAAATTTTTGCATGATTACATTTAAAAATTGTAAGATTAACTCATTGTAAGTGTAAAAATCAGTTCATGTAAACTTCAAATTGATTGAATAAAATATTTGACAAGATGTATTGATAGGAAACTACTCACAATACTTTCTTCAGTTTGTCTAAATTTTCCAGGGTCGCTGCTCGTTCTAATTCAATAGCATGGATGCAACTATTCTTTGCTACTTCTTCGATAAATGGACCAATGTATTCCTCTTGAGTTTTGTAATTGTTTTTTGACAAAATAGGTACTTCAAAAGTACTTAAGAATGTGTCAGCCTGTGTGTGCCCCATACATTCACGTATTGCACCTGTGTATAGGCAATTTTTATCAATTAGTTATTTATAAACAGACAAATATTGTGCTAAATATTTATTGTTTCTTATCCAGAGGTAACTTCGCATTTATTTCAAACATTTTCTTAGTACTGCCAGGAAGTGCAGTCAAAGGTCCACTTTCAATTGACTGGACAATACAACATCTATCACATTTCACTTTGAAATACGAACCCATCCCATGAATAGTTTCATCCACGATATCGCCCATGTGCAGTTTTTCCTGGCAATTTTTGCAGTACATTTGTTTGGACATATGCTTCAAATCAACGATACGCGCTCCTTCAACAGGGTACTTCGAGGTTATTTCGGCTGAGTTTTTTTCACTCTTGTTGGTAGATGCAACTTGTCGTCCCTTGTTGTTACTACCGTTCTCTGATCGCCACAACATGTGTTCGTAAACCTTTTTGGACACATATTTTCCTTTCCAATAGTATCTTTCGGGAGGCATGACACTTGACTTGAATACTAATACCTAATAATAAACAGCAATCAGCTGTATCTAGTATATATTATTTTACCCCATATATAAGTATACTTAACAACAGCTGGCGGTGTTGCCAAGTTTCGATTCTACGTCGATAATACAGGTAACTGGTCAAGACGAAAAGATCCAGGGCAACGTCCTTAATTGAAAAAATCGAGTTGCCTTGGCAATCTCGAATTGGATGGGAAATGTCGATAATTTTAATTTCTTGCTATAACTATTTTTGTTTATTATTTGCTTCAGTTGTTCCCGAATTCCGATATTATTATGTTCTAATAAGTTAAAATGCCAACTGTCATTATAAGTAGAAGAAAGGTGTTAACTTTAAATTACTTTAGTTATTTTAAATACTGTAAGTAAAATTGAGATTTTTGTACCTTACTATTACAATAATATAATGATTTTTGACAAAACTTCCTAATTTATCTTCTGTTTAAAAAATTTTGTATCTTATCATGGAAATATTTACATGCAATATAATAACACAGCTTTTATTTTGAGATAGAGTATCGGATGGTCCTCCTGTGAAGCTTTACTAGTGAAAATCAAAAGACTTTTGCAGACAGAAAAATTGAAGGGATCCTTAATATATTGACAATACTGAAATTTGACTGACATTTCATTATATTTCATTTCCGCAAAGAGTTTCATGGGTACGTAAGAAATACTCCATTTATAATTATACGAATATTGCTGTTATTTTTGTCTACTTAGTTATGTTAGTAAAACCCAACTATCAATTGTAAGNTGAGATCTTTTTAATACTACTACACGAAGTAAATACATACATATTTATACATATATTTAACAATTTTAAAGGTACTGTTCATGAAGATACAAGACTCATGACAGTGATATCAATAATTTTCAAGAAGCATCGATCAAATACTGTGTTTTTGTTCTCAGACTCAAATTTTTAAGTTGTTTTTATTAAAACTATTATAGGTACCTGCTTTACTACTCTCTTTAAATATACCTATATGTATAAACATAAAAATTGATTTCATTAATGGAAACGGTGAATACTTATTTGTAGGAAGCGCAAGCGGTAAAAGTTGCGTAATGTATAAAATATTTATTGAAGATAGTTTGCGCATCACTATTCTGCCCTAAAAATGTTGTTAATATACTGCTTGTAATAAGAATCAAAATCAAAATTTCTTATCACATAAATTTTTAGATTCTTAAAGAAAATGGTATTCCTGTTTTATTTTAAATAATCTTACATTCACGAATTTTCCTAGAAAAAGCAGAGAAATGATATTTTGACCTTATGTACACCTTTTTAAGCCATCATACATTAAACAAAAAATTTTCAGTCTATTATAGATGCATAAAATGTTTTAAGAAATAGAATCTAACAATTGAATAAGTCAATTAATTAGAAAAAATAATTATGGAAATATGTGTGTCTAAAGTCCGATGAATCTGGGTCTAAAACTAATGATCTAGCTGACGGTACTAGACTTCTGATCTTACAGCGTTAGCATAAAAAGCTCCGTACATTCTTTATATTTTTTAATTATTTGAGGTTGATTATTTAACTTTTATAGTCAATAGTATCATACATTATTAGTGAAATTAACACTTTTGTTTGACACACATAATTTAAACGTATTGAAATCTAATCTTTAGTACTAAAGCTGTGAATTATTTGCTTTTTGCAGTGCAGCAAAACTGGAGCACTAAATAAACTTACATAATTGTTTAAAAAACTTTTTGTTATGCTGTTAAAACTTAATCTTTATTATTAAAAATGAAAAACAAAATGAATATGATCGTTCTTTACAATTTTAATAATTCATTTTTTATAAACCACGTAAACAGAATTATAATGATAAAATTCATGAAAAATAAAATCACTTGAATTGAGTTTTACATGAAACAAAATTTAATAAAGTTTCTATGTTCTTGCAAAATAATTTTGAGAAGATTTCAGAATAGTTACAAAAATATCAATTTTCTTGTATAAATGGAACAATTTTTAGAACAAATTTTTAATAAATTCGACAAAACTACATAAAACAACGTTTGATGATGTTATTATGTCTTGAAGATAATGCTTTTTTACAGTCTCCTATTAGAGTTGAGAAAAACTTTTCCTAATTTTTGTTTGAATCTGGTAGTTTTTAAAAAAACTTTATTTTATGTATAAACTTGTGTTGTAAGAATTTATGTCATTTATCTGAGTACAGTATAAATAACTGAAAAATATTATCTTTCCTGCTAGTATTTGAAACCCAAATTAAAGTATTAAAGAGGAAAAGGTAATCTACAACTTTGTTGTGACAATTACAATAAATTTATTACACTTTTAAACATTGATTAATTTTTCCTTGGAATGAAAAGTATATGTACAGTATAAGTAAAATCCGTGAACGAAAAGTAGTTGTAAAATCAATTACTAGATTTATTGTTGACGAACGTGTTAAGAGACACGAAACAACATAAAATGTAAATTATCTTCCGAGTGTCTAATCAAACCTGGGCAAGTGGGTAAGACACTCGACTACGAGTCCTCCAAACCAGGTTCAAATTCCCTACCTGGAGCAAAGAGATGCTTTTTTTTTAAACTACTTATATTAGCTTTTCTAAAAGCTTTTAAGCAGAAAGAATTCAATATTACATGGGTTACAACTTATACTTTTTTATTTTTTAGTTGCCGAAAATCTTGCTTAATATCGTGTAGGATATCTTGTAGACTATCGTGCAAGAAGTCTTACACGATATCCTAAAAGATTTCGTGTAGTAAATCTTGTAAGATATCGTGTAGGATATCTTGCACGATATCGTGCAGAAATTTTGTTACGGGTAGTGATAAGTTGGTACTTTCATTAAGAAGGCACGACACAGGCGCATTCCACAATTTTCTTAGAATGTCACCTACGCTATTTGATGAGTTTCTGGCAATATTCGGTCTAAAAATCACTAAACAAGTTGCTGTGCGCTCACCCATATCTGCTACTATACGGTTGCAGGTGACATTGAGATTCTTGGCAACTGGCGATAACCTGAAGTCTTTAGATTACTTGTTTAGAGTGAGTGACAGTACGATTTCTAAAATCGTTGAAGAAACCTGTGAAGAAATTTTGAACTGTCTAAAGTTTAAAGTGTTTCCAACAAAATTAACAGAAAATTTCTGGAAAAATGTTGCAGCAGACTTTGAAGAACACTGGAACTTTTCACATTGTATTGGGTGCGTGGATAGAAAAGTAATTACCATGAAGGTATTATTTATTTGTTAATAAAAGTACAACTGTAAAGCATTTGTCATTACATATATAAGTCTTGTAAAAATAATCGTCGATATTGTAGGCACCACCTCACAGCAACTCTTTTTTTTATGACTACAAGGGCCATCACAGTATACATTTGCAAGCCTACGTTGATGCTCATCAACAATTTATACTGGTAGAAATTGAAGCAGCTGGCAGGCAAAGTGACGGTGGAGTTTTTTAAAATAGCGAAACTGGCCAAGCTATCAGTAACAACCCGCTGCTCATTCCACCAGCGAAACCATTGGTACCTGGTGGCACTGGACTACCTTTTGTATTTTTGGGAGATGAAGCCTTTGGTCTCAGTAATTTTTTCATCGCTCCTTATCCTAGAGGTTCACTCGTAAGTCTGAGACAAAGAGTCTTTAATTATCGTCAATCAAGAGCGAGACGTATTGTACAGGCAGCATTTGGTGGACTTGCCTCAGTATGGCAAGTTTTTAAAGATGGTATGAAAATATCATTGCCATGCATGATTGAAGTAACTAAAGCTTTAGTTTGTCTGCATATTTTTTGATTATGCATGAACGTGGTCAAAAGGGCTACTTCGATTCTAACTTTCAATCAGTAATTGATGAAGAACGAGATCAAGTTGAGAGCGAATATGGCTTTTCTAGTTATTTTATGAATCAAGGAGCCGTTGATTTTCAGTGGAGAAAAGCTAT